GACCATACTTCGTTCCGCTCCTTGAGCAGGTTCTTGGTCTCCCGCCTTCTACTGTTCCTCCTCCTCCCTTAGAGTGTCCACAGCCTGTCCCGTCTCAGTTACAGTTACAGCCGGCCTCCCCACTGCCTGCTCCTTCTCCCTACACTGGTCCTACTGGAGGTCTTACTGAGCGTCATGAGCCTGCGTCTCGCCCTGCGTCGCCTGTCCGTGCTGCTCGCACTAGTGGTCGTGGTTCGCGTCAGCGTCCTCCCCCTGTCCCTGGCACGCACCGGATGTCTCTGCGTCCGTCCACTGCTCCTCTGCGTGCCCCTTTGCCTTCTCCTCCTGAGTCCTCTCTTCCTGCTCTTCCCGACCCGGAGTCGGACTCTCTTCGTGCTGCCAGTCCTACTGTCACGCGTCTCCTTGCTACTGTTGTCACTGACCCTTCCTTTGAGTCCACTGCTGCGTCTGCCCTAGTTACTGAGCTCGTCGACTTTGCTGCTCGCTGTCGTCTAGACTACGCTGCTAGTCTTGTTGCTGAGTCTGAGTCTGTCTGTCCTCCGTCCGTCGGGGGTGAGTGTGCCCTTGGCACGGACGTCCTTGAGGACAGGCAGGAGGAGTTCCAGTGTTTGGCTGCTGCTTCACCTCATCTCGTGTCTGTACTGCTTACCCCTGAGGGAGACCCGGATGCACTTGACATCTCGACTCCGCGCTCTTACGCGGAGGCGATAGAGGGTCCCTACTCCTCTCAGTGGCAGGCAGCTATGGACGCAGAGATGGCTTCCTGGAAGTCCACAGGCACCTACGTTGACGAGGTTCCCCCACCTGGGGCGAACATCGTCAGTGGCATGTGGATTTTCAGGGTGAAGCGGCCGCCGGGTTCTCCGCCTGTCTTCAAGGCGCGTTACGTGGCTCGTGGCTTCAGTCAGCGGCAGGGAGTTGACTACTTTCAGACCTTCTCTCCCACCCCGAAGATGACCACTCTTCGGGTACTGCTGCACATAGCTGCTCACCGTGGCTACGAGCTGCACTCTCTTGACTTCAGCACTGCTTTCTTGCAGGGCAGCCTGCGTCACCCACCTGGCTTCACTGGGTCTTTTCCTCCTGGCACCCAGTGGAGCCTCCGGCGGCCAGTCTACGGTCTCCGCCAGGCACCGCGTGAGTGGCACGACACACTGAGGACTACACTTGCGGCTCTTGGGTTTGCTTCCTCTACTGCCGACCCGTCGCTGTTTCTGCGCACCGACACTTCTTTGCCGCCGTTCTACATCCTCGTGTACGTCGACGACTTGGTCTTTGCCACAGCTGACACTGCTGGACTCGCCCACGTGAAGTCCGAGCTGCAGAAGAGACACACGTGCACAGACCTGGGTGAACTGCGCAGCTACCTTGGCTTGCAGATCACGCGGGACAGAGCACGCCGCACCATTACCCTGACTCAGTCACACATGGTGCAGCAGGTCCTTCAGCGCTTCGGCTTCACGTACTCCTCGCCTCAGGCCACTCCTCTGCCTACTCGCCACTCGCTCTCAGCTCTGCCTTCGGATGAGTCCGTAGAGTCGAGTGGCCCGTACCTAGAGCTTGTTGGCTGCCTCATGTACCTGATGACCTGCACACGACCTGACCTTGCATACCCTCTTAGCATTCTCGCACGCTATGTTGCTCCTGGGAGACACAGACCGGAGCACATGGCTGCAGCGAAGAGGGTGTTGCGCTACTTGTGCAGTACGTCGGGCATGGGGCTTGTGCTTGGAGGGCAGAGTCCAGTGGTCCTCACTGGGCACGCAGACGCTTCTTGGGCTGACGACCAGGCTACGCAGCGGTCGTCATGTCAGAATGTATTTGCTGTCTAGCCTGCAGTGGGGTACTCTGTAATGAGTACAACCCAATTTAGGGTGTTGTACTTGTATCCCAACTCTTGCTAGTGAAACCCCATTCCTCTCCTTCCAAACCTCTCGATACTTTTCCTAAACTCGAACTCAACTACCAAGGCTCCTAAACTATGGCTCCTAAGCCAAACTCACGCTAGGATTCTGATATGTTATCAGAGCTTAACGTTCCTGGCCTGTGGGCCCACTCGATTCCGCTGCCCTACTGTGTGTCGCGCGCCCCGTGGCGCGCGACATCCCATTTTTCTTCCCGCCACGCGCTCGGAGCGCGTGGCGGTTTTCTGCCCGCCGTGCGCCCCGAGGCGCGCGGCGGGTTCCTACCTCGTCGCGGCGTCTTAGGGGCCCGCGCACTGGCCCCGACCGTCGCCTCGTCGAGGCGTTTTGGGGGCCTGCACGCAGGTCCCTCCCGTCGCCTCGTCGCGGCACTTTCGGGGCCCGCGAGCCGGCCCCTCCCGTTGCCTCGTCGCGGCGCCTTAGGGGCCTGCGCGCGGTCCCCTCTCGTTGCCAGTCGAGGCACTTTTGGGGACCTGCGCGGCTCCCTAGCACATCGCCCGTCAGGGCACAATGGGGGCCGCGCCCTTCCCCTCCCCTCCCTCCTACTTTCCGCTGCAGCAGCCGCCCCTGGAGCCGCCGCCCCTGAAGCAGCCGCCCCTGGAGCGGCCTGCCTTGCAACAGCAGCCGCCCCTGGAGCAGCCGCCCCAGCAGCAGCAGCCCCTGGAGCAGCCGCCCCAGGAGCAGCAACCCCTGGAGCCGCCGCCACTGCAGCGGCCGCCCCAGCAGCAGCAGCCCCTGAAGCAGCCGCCCCAGCAGTAGCAGCCCCTGGAGCAGCCGCCCCAGCAGCAGCAGCCTCTGGAGCAGCCGCCCCAGCAGCAGCAGCCCCTGGAGCAGCCGCCCCAGCAGCAGCAGCCCCTGGAGCAGCCGCCCCAGCAGCAGCCGCCCCAGCAGCAGCAGCCCCAGCAGCAGCAGCCCCTGGAGCAGCCGCCCCAGCAGCAGCAGCACCTGGAGCAGCCGCCCCAGCAGCATCAGCCCCAGCAGCATCAGCCCCAGCAGCAGCAGCCCCTAGAGCAGCCGCCCCAGCAGCAGCGGCACCTGGAGCAGCCGCCCCAGCAGCAGCAGCCCCTGGAGCAGCCGCCCCAGCAGCAGTCGCCCCAGCAGCAGCAGCCCCTGGAGCAGCCGCCCCAGCAGCAGCAGCCCCTGGAGCAGCCGCCCCAGCAGCAGCAGCCCCTGGAGCAGCCGCCCCAGCAGCAGCAGCCCCTGGAGCAGCCGCCTCAGCAGCAGCAGCCCCTGGAGCAGCCGCCCCAGCAGCAGCAGCCCCTGGAGCAGCCGCCCCAGCAGCAGCCGCCCCTGGCCCCTGCAGCAGCCGCTCCTGGACCCGGTGCAGCCGTGGGGGGGTGGGTGTGGGGGTGATGGTTGTGGGGGTGTCGGTTGTGCGTGCCGTTCCCTCCTCCTCCTCCTCCTTCGTCTCCCACTGCTGCAGCTCTCGCTGAGGGGGGTGGATGTGTGGGAGTCTGGGGTTTAGGGTTTAAGGGGGTGCTGTGGGTGTAGGGCTAGGGTTTGAGCAGGGGGTGTGTGAGAAGGGCGTTAGGCAGCTGGGGAGGTCGAGTGGAGGCAGCAGTCTTGTCGTCAGCAGCAGCAGCAGTCCGGAGGCTACAATCTCCGGTAGTCGCCAGTCGCCCGTGGGTCCGTAGTTCGTCTGCCGCTACTTTTAGCCGCGGGGCCAGTTACCCCAGTAGTCCGGAGCGCTGTTCCGGTAGCCACTGAGCCAGCAGCTCGTCTGTGTGTCTGCAGCGTCAGCAGTCGCCTCCCATCTTCTCTCCCCCACAGTCTCTCCTCCTCCTCACTTGCCCTCTGTGATTAGCTCTAGCCTTACTTACCTATTGTGAACTCTTGCTCTATGCTTGCTCATTGTGCTGATTACACCCCACTTTGGCTATGGGGGTGTGTCAGAATGTATTTGCTGTCTAGCCTGCAGTGGGGTACTCTGTAATGAGTACAACCCAATTTAGGGTGTTGTACTTGTATCCCAACTCTTGCTAGTGAAACCCCATTCCTCTCCTTCCAAACCTCTCGATACTTTTCCTAAACTCGAACTCAACTACCAAGGCTCCTAAACTATGGCTCCTAAGCCAAACTCACGCTAGGATTCTGATACGTCACAGGGTTACACCTTCAGCCTTGGTTCCGGCTCTGTTTCGTGGCGGGCTACCCGCTCGTCCTCTGTTCTCGGCTCCAGTTGTGAGGCTGAGATCTACGCAGGAGCCATGGCTGCACAGGAGCTTCGCTGGCTCACCTACCTGCTGACTGACCTCGGAGAGCCGCCTCGTTCTCCTCCAGTGCTGTACGTAGACAACAAGGCCATGCTGGCCTTGTGTCGGGAGCAGAGACTGGAGCACAGAACGAAGCACATTGCTCTTCGCTACATCCTTGCTCGTGAGCTCCAGCAGCGTGGTCAGCTGCGTCTTGCGTACGTGGCCTCTGAGGCCAACACTGCTGATATCTTCACCAAGGCACTTGCGCCTTGTGATCATCAGCGCTTCTGTACTCAGCTTGGTCTTGTGCCTGCCTTGCCTCACTTGCTCACCCCTTGACCTTGTTTGTACTGTTACATATATATATACACCTGCTCTTGCTTTTCTAGCCTTATATATATATGTAATCCTGCATGTGAACTGGCCTTCTGGCCTTGAACTTGTGCTCGGAATGTGTGGTGACTTTGTGATCCACCCTAAGCTTTCCTTGCTTTGCTTGACTGGTCTTGTGACCCCTTGTTCTCCCCCACTTTGCCTATGGGGGTGTGTCAGATTTATATGACATAGCTGCTGTAGGCTATAGTGGGGTAGCACATATGGGGTACAGTTTTCTAGGGTTTGTACTTGTACCCAACTTTCCCTTAGTCAATTTCATTCCTTGTTATTTCTCATAAGCCTAGGCCCTTAACCTAAACTTTGCCTACTTCTTGATTCTGACATGGTATAGAGCTAGTTTCGAGAATTTTTTAAAAAGGGCCCACCACTAAAATTCTTTACTGCCTACTTGACGCGCGCGTCGCGCTTTCCCTTCGAGGCCCGTCGCGGCCCCTGCGCCTGCCCTCAGAGCCAGCGCCCGCCACATAAGGCCCCGTAAGGCTCCGTTATGCCCCGTAAGGCCCCTTAAGGCCCCGTTTACGGCCCCGTTTAAGGCCCTGCAAGGCCCCGTCAGGCCCCGTTTGGCCCCGTTTAAGGCCCCGTAAGGCCCCTTTCGGCCCCGTTAGAGGCCTCGTACGGCCCCGTCAGGCCCCGTTAGAGGCCCCGTACGGCCCCGTCAGGCCCCGTTAGAGGCCCCGTAAGGCCCCGTCAGGCCCCGTTTGGCCCCGTTTAAGGCCCCGTAAGGCCCCTTTCAGCCCCGTTAGAGGCCTCGTAAGGCCCCGTCAGGCCCCGTTAGAGGCCCCGTACGGCCCCGTCAGGCCCCGTTAGAGGCCCCGTAAGGCCCCGTCAGGCCCCGTTAGAGGCCCCGTACGGCCCCGTCAGGCCCCGTTAGAGGCCCCGTAAGGCCCCGTCAGGCCCCGTTTGGCCCCGTTTAAGGCCCCGTAAGGCCCCGTCAGGCCCCGCTAGAGGCCCCGTAGGCCCCGTCAGGCCCCGTTAGAGGCCCCGTTGGCCCCGTCAGGCCCCGTTAGAGGCTCCGTACGGCCCCGTCAGGCCCCGTTAAAGGCCCCCCTTCAGGCCCAGCCGGCCCTACTGCGGCTCTGTCGCAGCTCTGCCCCGGCCCTCGCCCCGACCCTGTCTCCGCCCTGCCCCGGCCCTGCTCCTGCACTGCCGCGGCCCGGCCCCGGCCCTGTCGCGACCTCGCCCCGGCCCTGTCCCGGCCCTGCTCCGACCCTGCCCCGGCCCTGCCCCGGCCCTGCATCCTGCCCCGGCCCTGCCCCGGCCCTGCCCTGGCCCTGCATCCTGCCTCTGCCCTGCCCCGGCCCTGCCCCGGCTCTGCCTCGACCGCCCCCAGTTCCTGGGCCCCTTCTCCTCCCCCCCGTCGTACCTCAACGGCGAGTATGCTGGTGACTACGGGTGGGACACCGCGGGCCTGTCCGCCGACCCTGAGACGTTCGCCAAGAACCGCGAGCTGGAGGTGATCCACGCCCGCTGGGCTCTTCTCGGCGCCCTGGGCTGCCTGACCCCCGAGCTCCTGGCCAACAACGGCGTCGAGTTCGGCGAGGCTGTGTGGTTCAAGGCCGGTGCCCAGATATTTTCCGAGGGCGGCCTCGACTACCTCGGCAACCCCGGCCTGATCCACGCACAGTCCATCCTGGCCATCTGGGCTACCCAGGTCATCCTGATGGGCGCCGTTGAGAGCTACCGCGTGGGTGGCCTCGAGGGCTTCCAGGAAGTTGAGGACCCCCTGTACCCCGTCGGTGCGTTCGACCCCCTGGGTCTGGCTGATGACCCCGACACTCTCGCGGAGCTGAAGGTGAAGGAGCTGAAGAACGGCCGCCTCGCCATGGTGTCGATGTTCGGATTCTACGTCCAGGCCATCGTGACCGGCAAGGGTCCCCTTGAGAACCTGTCCGACCACCTGGCTGACCCCACCGTGAACAACGCCTGGGCCTATGCCACCAACTTCACCCCCGGCCAGTAAATGCTTGTTCTGAAAAAAATATAAATCTTAGTATATACGATTTCCAAAATATCGTCCAACAGACACTTTCAAAAAAAAAAAAAAAAAAATGGTATGGGGGTGATGGGTGGTATGGTCCCTTCCCCTCCTCCTCCTTTCGTTCCCACTGCTGCAGCTGCCGCTGGGGGGAGGGTGTGAGGGTGTGGGGGAGCCAGGGGAGTGGCATTGGGGTGGCGGGTGTGAGACATCCAGCCCCCGTCCCTCTGAGGTGGGGGGGGGGGGGGGAGGAGAGTAAAGGGGTGGCAGGAGTGCCTGCCCCCCCTTTGCTACTGTACCTGCTTTGTAACCTTGCCTGTTGCCTGCTGTTGCTGTTTTCTCAGTTCGTGGTGTACCCATCCAGGTTGTGTCGCTGCACAGACTCCTGCTTCTGGCAGTTATGGGGGAGTGTTAGAATATATCTGTAACTGCCTGTAGCTGTAGTTAGTGTAGTTATTATAAACTTTAAACTGTTACTTCTTGTACTTGTGCTCAGAATGTGTGGTGACATTGTGATCCACCCTGAGCTTGCTTTGCTTTGCTTGTTGTGCTGATCATACCCCACTTTGACTATGGGGGTGTGTCAGAATATTATGTTTCTCTAAAAAAAAAAAAAAAAAAAAAAAAGTATGGGGGTGATGGGTGGTATGGTCCCTTCCCCTCCTCCTCCTTTCGTTCCCACTGCTGCAGCTGCCGCTGGGGGGAGGGTGTGAGGGTGTGAGGGTGTGAGTGAACCTAGGGGTGTAGCAGGGGGTGTGTGAATGGGGGGTGCGGCAGTAGAGGGAGGTTGGGTGGAGGTAGCCGTTGTGTTGCTAGCAGTGCCAGTAGTCCGGAGGTGCGCTTCCGGTAGCCCAGTGATGCCGCTGCGCCAGTCGCCCGTGGGTCCGTTGCTCCTGCCGCTCGTCTTAGCCGTGGAGCCAGTTACTCCTGTAGTCCGGAGGTGCGCCTCCGGTAGCCACAGTGCGCGCCGCTCCTATTGCCCGTGTGTCTGCAGCTTCCGCCGTTGCCTCCTCTCTCCTCTCCTATTAGTCCAGCCTCCTCCTCCTCACTTGCCCTCTGTGATAGCCTCTAGCTTTACTTATTTATTGTGAACTTTAAACTGTTACTTCTTGTACTTGTGCTCAGAATGTGTGGTGACATTGTGATCCACCCTGAGCTTGCTTTGCTTTGCTTGTTGTGCTGATCATACCCCACTTTGACTATGGGGGTGTGTCAGAATATTATGTTTCTCTAGTCTGCAGTGGGGTACTCAATAGTGAGTACAACCCTGTTAGGGTTTCCAATATGTACCCAATTGCTTTCTAGTGCAATCATCCTTTCTCAATTTCTCTCGTCAATTCTCGGACATGGTATTCAGAGCAGGAACCTTCCTGCTGCCTTCTTTAACGGGCCCACCATTTTGCTTCCGCTACATGTCGTCCTGCCGCGCGCCTAGGGCGCGCGGCGATTTTCTGCCCGCCGTGTGCTCGGGGCGCACGGCGGTTTTCTGCCCGCCGTGCGCCCCGGGCGCGCGGCGTCTGCCTGCCTGCCTGCCTGCCCGTCGTGCGCCCCGTGGCGCGCGACGGTGCCCTGAGCCGCCGCGGACCCGCCCTTGGCGCCCGCGACGGTGCCTTGAGCCACCGCGGACCCGCCCTTGGCGCCCGCGACGGTGTCCTGAGCCGCCGCGGACCCGCCCCTGGCGCCCGCGACGGTGCCTTGCGCCGCCGCGGACCCGCCCCTGGCGCCCGTGACGGTGGCCTGAGCCGCCGCGGACCCGCCCCTGGCGCCCGCGACGGTGCCCTGGGCCGCTGCGGACCCGCCCCTGGCGCCCGCGACGGCGCCTCTTCATCACCAGCGCCTGCACTCGGTGCAGCCGCCCGTGCCTCACATGCGCCTGCACTCGGTGCAGCCGCCCCTGCCCTTCCCTGTGCGCCACCCCTCTGTGGCTGTGGGGCGGCTTCTTCCCCGCCCCCCCCCCCCCCCTCCTCCTTCTTCTTCCTGCTGCGCGTGCAGCCGTGGGGGGGAGGGTATGGAGGTGGCGGGTATGGGGGTGATGGGTGGTATGGTCCCTTCCCCTCCTCCTCCTTTCGTTCCCACTGCTGCAGCTGCCGCTGGGGGGAGGGTGTGAGGGTGTGGGGGAGCCAGGGGAGTGGCATTGGGGTGGCGGGTGTGAGACATCCAGCCCCCGTCCCTCTGAGGTGGGGGGGGGGGGGGAGGAGAGTAAAGGGGTGGCAGGAGTGCCTGCCCCCCCTTTGCTGCTGTACCTGCTTTGTAACCTTGCCTGTTGCCTGCTGTTGCTGTTTTCTCAGTTCGTGGTGTACCCATCCAGGTTGTGTCGCTCCACAGACTCCTGCTTCTGGCAGTTATGGGGGAGTGTTAGAATATATCTGTAACTGCCTGTAGCTGTAGTTAGTGTAGTTATTATAAACTTTGTTAGGTGGTGCACCTTCTTTGTTCATTTGCTATATGTTCTTGCAAACCTATAGTGAAGTAATTCATTCTCCTCTCTCGACTCTCTCGACTTGGCACAAACCACCTCGACTCCCATGGCCTAGGCTTCTAAGCCTAGGCCCTTAATGTTATAGTCACAATAGGCTTGAATGTGCCTAAAACGAAAGATAGAGAGCACAGACGGATTTCTGCACAGCGGCTTCAAACGTTGATAGCGTTCTGCTCACAGCTGCAAATGACTTGATTCAAATTGGATCTAGAGCGTCTTCACGTCGTCTACAATTAGCAATTTAGATTGCACGATTTGATAAAGAATTGACGACACAGCGTTGGTTTGAACGAACGGTACTATGGCAGCCACTATAGTCTTAGAACACAAGATAGGAAGAGTTACGAGTTGGGAATGACTCCCAGCTCCTACAAACCCCAAGAGCCGAGGTACAGTGATGTGGAACAGTGCCACACTGTCCCCAACCACGAAGGGTCTCGAAACTACCCTTCACTAGGGCCTACACCAAGTGAAATGTTACACTACACAAAGTAATGTAACTATCTTCAATATCTTGAGGTGTACCCTTTTGGCAAGCTTCGAAATCACTTGAGGCTTGACACCAAGGCTCGGGCTCTTCATCACAAACTCATCCTTGAGTTCTTGATGGGTCTGCTGCACACACCTGCGACACGCCGAACGTTCGACACAGGACAAAATAGAAACCGCGCACGACAAAATAGAAACCGCGCGCGAGACACAAACGACCGCGTAACACGCGTCTAGCGATAACTCGCTATTGACTCGACACACACACTCGACACCATGACTCAACATTCACACACAATTATAAGCATGAAATATATATTATCCCATGCCCTCATACCATTCCATACACACACACATTCACGCACACGGACAACAAGCCGAGTGCGAACCGTAGGGTTGCACCAACAAACTCCCCCTCGGATTGTTGGCCTTAGGATATGTTGCTCTCTCAGTTCAGAGCCATCCCAGCCAGCTTGCAACACTTCCAATGCTGCTGCTCCACCAGCCTCTTGGTCATCATGTCAGCCGGCTGCCCCGTGGTCTTCACGTAGCGCAACTCAACTTCACCCGCGGTTACCATGCTCCTCGTCCAATGCCACTTCACCCTCATGTGCTTCGTGAGTCCATGCAACACAGGGTTCTTAGCAAGAGCAATGGCACCCTGGCTGTCACAGTACAGTGGGGTAGGTCCTTGCTGCTCCTCCCCCAATTCAGCCAACAAACGCCGCTGCCACACAATCTCCCGTACGGCACGGAAGAGTGCCATGTACTCGGACTCCACCGAGCTCAAAGCTTGGTCAACCTGCTTCTTGCTCTCCCAAGCAGTTGGGCCTCCACCAACACAGCATATGAAGCCTCCCACACTTTTCATGTCCTCTGGTTCTGATGCATATGAAGCATCCGAGTAGGCGGTGAGGAACAAACGCCCGGGTTCAACACCATCCGCGCCCTTTTGGCGCCTTTGTGCCGCCGCCGAGTATTGCAGCCCAACGGTCGGTGTTTGGCCAAGATACTTGGCCACCCTCATTCCAGCTGCTACCTGCTCCTCATTAGGGCATTGCACAACCCTAGCCAGCTGCCCGGTAGCAAACGCGACGTCCGGTCGGGTGTTTACCGCCGCATACATGAGGCTGCCCACCAACGAGTGAAATCGGCGCCTCTCCTCTTCACCAACGCTCTCCTCCTCTGGTCCCTTCACACACTTGAACCCAGAGGGAAAGGGTGTAGCCACATGGCCTTCACTCTGCCCAAAGTTGGCAGCCAATGCCTCCAGGTACTTTCGTTGATGCACCCGCATGCACCGCTTCTCCACATCTCGTTCGATGTGGAGCCCAAGGTAGAAGCTCACGTCACCAAGGGCCTTGCACTTGAACTTGTCTTGAAGCTTCAGCATCACCTCCTTCACAAGGTCAGAAGAGGGTGAGAAAATGAGGATGTCATCCACATAAACCACCATGAAACTCCTCTGCTCCCCCTCGCCAAGCATGAACAAGGAGTGATCGGCCGTTGAGGGAGTGAAGCCGATCCCCTCCAACACTTCGCGCAGCTTCATGTACCATTGCCTAGGGGCCTGCTTCAGCCCATAGAGGGCCTTCTTCAGCTTCCACACTCTGCCACTACCATCATCAAACCCCTCTGGCTGCGCCATAAAAATCTCCTCCTCAAGGATGCCGTTAAGGAATGCCGTTACGATGTCCATTTGCTTTACTACCCATCCTTTGATGGCGGCTCCCGCGAATAGGGTTCGCAGCGTCGTCGGCTTCACCACAGGGGCAAACAGCTCCTTGAAGTCCACCTTCTCCTTCTGCTGGTACCCCTTGGCTACAAGCCTAGACTTGTAGCGCTCGATCTTGCCGTCGGCATCCGACTTGATTTTGAAGAGCCACTTGGACGTTATCGCCGTACGCCCCTCCGGTAGCTCCACCAATTCAAACGTGTCATTCTCCTCGATGCTCTTCAGCTCACTCTCCATGGCCTTCTTCCACTCCTCAGCATCACTACTCTCCAAAGCCTCCTT